GTGAGAACACCAGCCATTGCTTTAAATTGCTGTCTCCCAAATGCTACTGTTAGCAGATTTCCTCTGTAGTATCCCCAGGTGAAATGAAACTTCTCATTTTGCCTGAGGAAAAAGAAAACCTACTGTAAACAGAATTGATATGGATTTCAACTTGGATGGGAAGAGTTACGTAACACATTCGTGCCTGCAAAACTCATGAATAATTTCATAACCTTCCTGTGTGGATTAAGTTCTAAATTAAATTTAACAAGTGGTTTCAAATGCACTTGTCCACAGAAGACTGTTTCTGAGAACAGTCCTGATAGAACACTCCCCACTACCACCACCAACCAGTCCCCCAAACTGCCAAAACAAAAACAGATTAAGCCTTTTACCTTTTGATATAATGCAACATTCATGAAATGTTCATGGAGATTTGTTCTCCAATGTGAGACCAAAGTTACCCTGCCACTGTATTATAGTCTTCTTCAGTTCATCATGTTGTTTTCCACTGATCTCCTCAGCATTGTGCCTTATGGGGAAGCCAAAAGCTTTCTCTTTCCAAGTATATTCATTTGCTCCATGAAGTGCCATGTTCTGTGAGCTCACTAATAGTCAGAGACACAAGATTTCCAGTGAGACATTTCAAAGTAACTAATTACCTTTAGGCCTTAAGAAGTTCACTCGTGGAGTGGAAACACTTCACTGATGTTCGTTTTGTTTCTACCCCAGAGACTTCCTCGTATATTTCCCAAACTGCTTTTTTCCTTATCCATTTCAAAAAGAAAACACAATAAGCTGAACTCTGAGAGTTCACCATTGTGAATGTTTTATACTTTATTTCACTAGCAAGCTGTAGAATTTTGTCACTTTTCAGCTTAACTGATTAAAAACACGTGTATGGAATTTTCAAGAAAATAACTTATTCCACTTATCTCAGCATATGAATCATATTGATATTGCAAATGTTGCTGTAGTGTTGTTGCTTTTGCTAATTTACGAGCATGGTGATGGAAAAATAAGGACATTTAGAACAAGAGTAGGACATATAGTCCCACACCTCATTAACTCATTTAATAAAAATGTAGGTGATTGGCTCAATTGTATTTGCCTGCCATAGTTCTGTATCCTTACATAACAAAAATCTACACACTTTAGCTAGGGCTGAAATCATTGGTCCTGGTGCTGCCATTGGCCCAAGGCCCTGACCCTGACCCCTGACCTGAGCTCAGTGGTCCTGCTAGAGCCCAGGACCCTGATTATTGAACCCCGATGAACCCCCCCATCTGTTCTCTCTCTCTCTCTCTCTCTCTCTCTCACACACACACACCATGGGTCACGTCTACTTTGAGGTATGCAAATGATAATTACATGAATGATAACTGGCCAGTCGTTAATCATATTTTGTCACCAGCATTGAACATTACTGCCCCTGACATTCAGAGCATGCCTGCTGTTATTTTCCAGAATTAACTCTGTTGGAGTTTATGGTGATCGGGGAGGGAATCTAATTTGCAGGGGGCAGGCAGACTTGTGCACAACTGTAGACGTTTCTCCACTGCCCACTTGCCCAATACAGACAGACCCTGGCACATGCTCTGTATTAGATTAGGGAAGGGAGCCTAGGCATTTTGCCTACCTTGCACGCTTCCTCCTATGCTTAAGGGGCAATCAACTTTATTTTTAAAAGTTGTCCTATTTTCCAGAGATCCAACTTGGCAAGTTTGGTGAAACACACTTCCAACCAGCTGGTCAGTATTCTTGATCGCACTGGACTGGATCTTACATTTTTTAGGCTAAGTGTGAGTCACATCAAATTCCGAGGAGTGATTATCTTCACGAGGTTCAGTGAGCTTTGTTATTGTGTCTTACCAAATTGCCTCATTGATTACCTAGCCATGCCCCTATAATGTTAATCGTGTCTGATTTTCACCTCCCCTAACCACGTGCTCTGTGGAACAACCCGTCATTCAGTGGATATCCTGGAGTTCACTGCACTCCCTGGCGCCATCTTTAAATGATGTAGAGCACCGTCCAGAGCTGCCTTCCACAGTTCCTCAAATTCACCTTGGACATTGTAGGTAAGGAGAAACCACTTTGTGGAGAGGCCGCTGGAGGTCCTGCTGGATGGGATGGTGCCGAGGACTTCACCCACCCACCCCCCAAGACCAGCAGTAGACACTGTAGCACCATTGTCTGAGATTGCTACCCAAGTTAAAGCAGTCTCGGACATCTGGCAGGATGCCCCCAGCACAGGAGGAAAAAGATCAATGACATTCTCCACTCTGCCAGGGTAAGTTCCTACACCTTCTTTCCGATTCCTCACGTTTACTGTCTCTACTACTGTATCCAAATCCCATCAGTGCTCTATCACTCTCAATATAATCTCTCACCTACAACATCTGTCCTCCCTCCTTGTCACTTGTCCCAACCCCTCACAGCATTGATTCTGTATGCCCTCTGTGATGCTCACTCACTCTGGACACCTACCACCTGTACCAACAGTAATGAATGGGCCACCCACTTGCATCTTCTGCCCCTCTCTCATTCCAAGAGGAAAACAGCACACTTCAGAGCAGATTTAAGATGGGTAGTGGACTGTTCGCTGTTCTGCTCCTTTATGAGGAGGGCATCCTGACTCTGACTGCCCCAAGCAGGGCCTGGACAGGTATTGGAGGTTACCCTTCCCTTACAGTGTCAGGAAACCCCTGAGTGAAGGTGCTGTACCCCTTGACTTGACTGAAGCCTGCTGATAAGTATGACAAGATTCATGTCTTTGTGTCTAAGCTAAACTGCAAGATAGAAGTAATGTGAGCCCAAAATCTCTGGCTGAGAGGGCATAGTTCCAAAAAAAAGGACAGTACAAGGCAGGGATGCTGAGAGCTTCCAGGCACGCTGAGGGTGAGTGAGCGCCATGTGAGTGAGCAAAGAGCCTCGAGATGCAGCCTGCTCCAGTCCATGAGCTGTGTGCATGTCACTGGGTGCACGGAATCCTTCCTGCAGCATTACAATGAGAGTTTCCAATGCTTCCCAACGTGCAACATTAAAGTGCAGCCCCATCTTGTAAGTTGATCGGAAATGTGCCATGAGGATTTGTGGAGGCTGGTAAGTATTCAATGCCAATGTGGAGTGCATGTAGCTGGTGCTCATTGAGTGTGCCCTGAGGTTTTTTGTGCTGCTTTCCAACATGGATGTTGTGAACTGGATCTGTCAGGTATCTGCCCTAATTTCCATGTCGTGTATTCCCAAAGCCTAGTTTGTTGAGCAAGGTTGGTAAATTCAGAACCTGAATATTAATGGGGCAAGTTGGCCCTCAACAAGGAGTTTAATAAGTGCTAATCCCTATCAGTTGGCCAGTTGAGGCTGCCTGGTGAGAATCTCACCACACAACCTGTGAAATGGGAATGAGATGATCTTGCGTTGAGTTGGTCCTCGTTCCACTTGTCTTCACACATCTCATCATAGGCCACATCGCTCACACTTGTATAAGATTCCACCCATTGGGTGAATCAGTCTCTATTATCATTCCTGTTCCTGAAGAAGCCAAGAATTCCCAGCTAAGCGACACCCCATCTCAATCTAGCCATCCAAAAATGCTTGCTTCGGAAGGAGCAGGTGGAAATTCTACTTGTACAAAAGAGCCCAGAAAATCTTGGAAACTGCTGAGACCTGGCACTGTCAAGTCTCATGTTCTTTCCAGTGGATTCCATCAATGAATAACCTGTTTCAGCTACATATAAATCCCTATGGAGCACTGGAAAGTTTAGGGACTATTATGTTTAGTACCAGACATAAATAACATTACTATATGAATGTAGGATGTAGATATACAAGTATACTACACAGATTCTCAAGCCTATGCTGCTATTTAATTAGATTTTAACTGAACTTCTGTAGCAACTGCACTTTCTATTCCTATCTTTTGACGCCTTCTGGGCCAATAACCAGTTGATCATGCTCTTGAGCATGAGTGTAGAGTCCATGACAAACACTCACAAGGATTAAAGACCCCATTCCCACAACATGCAGAAATGAGGTAGTCTACAAAATACCATACGACTGCTACAAATATTACATTGGACAGACAAGAAGGAATCTAGCCATCAGAATACACAAATATCAGCTAGCAGTAAAACAACACAACAAACTTTCCCTAATATTGGTACACTCAGACAATGAAGGTCATCAGTTTAACTGGGACAATGTAACCATTGTAGCCCAAGCCAAACATAGACACACACGGGAATTCCTAGAGGCAGGGTTCTCGACCCGCAATGCAATCAACAAACATAGAATTGGATCCCATATACAGACCCATGCAGAACAAAACCAGAAACAACACTACTCACCATACCAGACCGGACAGTATAAATTCCAAGTGGAGTAGAACAACATTGCTTCACCAGAGGCCTCACTGATGATGTTACCTAGCGTGGTGACCAAATGTCTAATTGAAAACAAGTCAGCACAGCAAGCAGGTATGTAACGATTATCCTGTTTATGCTACAGAACTACTTCAAACTTTGTAGCAAATTCCATGGCACAGGTAATCTGTTACTTGTCTGTGAGCTGGATTTTATGTAGTTCTTTGAACATTTAGTTCATCTCTGTATCCTGGATGCTACCTAATACTCGAGTAAGGGTTGTGTGTGTAGATGGACATAAAATGACATTAGCAACTTGGGTAGAAAAATTGTTCAACCCTCATGAAGACATCAATAAAGGAGACTGAAGGCTATCAAACATTATTTGGCAATATGCTTTATTATTGAACTACATTTATATGGATTAAAACTGTTTATATTTACTCTAAATATGGATTTTTATCTGTTGTAATTAGTAAGACAATCAAGACTTTGTTCCCACATCCTTGTGGGATTTAGACTACAGCTTCAAAGAAAGACATATAATTAGTTACAAAAATCTTTTTAACACTTCCATTGTGTTTGTCATATAAATTACAGCCAAATTCTTAATGCCACATGTACAATCTGTCACCCTGTTATTATTATTTCTTGTAGGAAGAAAATGAAATCCTTCTCTGAAGTCTGGAGAATAGATGAAGGGAAAGAACTGATGGACTGGGTGATGGTGAATAAGTAGAGATTAATTTTTTTTTCTTTTTTTAAAAATAAATACATCGATATGCATTGCTGATCTCCTCCTTATGTGTGTTTGGTTTCAGGGGAAACTTGGGGTTTTGCATCATACCCAATGAGAGAAATACTCAATTGCACTGACTTTACAAGTTGTTTTTACTCTGTCCCTGCTTTGTCCTTTTTCAGCTTGTTTATGTTCTCCATGTAAATCCTACAAAATAAGATAAATATAGATAAGGAAGTACAATTAACACATCTTGGCTCATTCGTCCAGAAAAACTATTAGGCCCCCTTTCCGTTCATGCCATCCAACCATTTCCTAAATGACTTATAAGGCTTTTTTGCCTTTATTTACACATCTATTCCATTTTCAGTACATCAAGAAAGTTCTGAGGTCAACGATAAATTTCAGCAGTTTGAACAGTGTCCATTGTCCTAAATCATACAATCTTGACATGTTTTTATAACCCATGGCCAATTTCATAAAGGTGTTGCCAGAATTTATATCTTGGAAAGAATCCCCAGACATCAGTACAGAGAACACTGTTCAGTTCTGAATCCAAATAACATTTTGTATTTTTTTGAAACAAGAGAAACTACAGATTCCTCTTCCCCTCTGCTAGTTTTTTTTTTCTAAATGCAGTGAAGTTGAAATTAAGCAAACTTTCAAAATAAAATGATGAGTTGAACTAAAGTTATACCATCGTGCTTCCTTTTTTGCTGCTTGTACAGAGAGCTGAGAAGAAAGGACCATGTGTGAAAACCTGCTGCTTTTTAATGGGAAGGTTGTGTTTAACTTGTGTATTTTGTCAGGAATCAGGGAAAAAAAAAATCACATTTGCCTAAAATCTAATTGTAATTCTGTGTTAAGTTAGAAAAAAAAGTAAGAACAATTTGTAACCAGTGTAATGTATTGTAAACCAGAACAAATAAATTATAATTTCTTTTTGTATTGCAGTTGTTATTGCAGAAGTAACAAATTATATAGTCCTTTGATTTTGTCATACTTTATGAAGGTTGGAGTGTTTGTCCTTGTTGCATCACAGTGGAAGATTACTGCTTCGTCTGATCTTCACCTGTCACTGGATTTTCGTGAGCCATTTGATTGAGGGCCATGTCCAAACATGGTTTCACCTAATATTTACAAGCACTGAGTTCTAGCAATTTCTTCAGTAGCAACTAAGATTATATGTACCCTCAACAAAAAAAACAATAAAATTGTGGAAGCTGGAAATCAGATACAAAAACAGGCATTGCTGGAAAAACTCAAGAGACAACAAGGTGCAGGGCTGGATGAACACAGCAGGCCAAGCAGCATCATAGGAGCAGAGAGGCTGACGTTTCGGGCCTAGACCCTTCATCAGAAAAGGGGGAGGGGAAGGGGGTTTTGAAATAAATAGGGAGAGAGTGGGAGGCGGATAGAAGAGGGATAGAGGAGAGGATAGGTGGAGAGGAAACAAACAGGTCGAAGAGGCGGGGATGG